GAGGCGATGATGTGTACTGGACGTGGAGGGTGATTGATGTAAGATATGTGTTTAGAAAAGTAGTTAACGATTTAGAATACTTAGTACTCTACTATGGGAGAGTGCACCACACCAAATGATGCCTGTAAAAATATAAGATATTAAGACTTCTCGACACTGGGTGTCACACTCCTGTTTTAGCCCCGAGCTTGGCTGCACCTGAAAAACTTATCAAACTTTGGTACTCTATCCCGGATTGCTCGAGTTGCAGAACACATTTTTTGTCATATTTGCCATGTATACTACTCATGTCACCATAGCCGGCGCGCAACATCTATGCGATTTGCACTTTTTGAGCAACATATCAAGGGTTTTATCAATATTATTTTAGTTTGGACAATACATAAACGAGTTTTGTTACTGACTGTGCAAACGGCCTCTTACAGCTACAGTTACGTAGCACCACCTGGTACAACACCGCACCTTCGTCATGTTTTTCATCACCAGAACACGCACCAGTGCTATTTCAAGACACCAGATGTGTATATTATGTCGTACTTTCATAGTGGCCACTGTCTGATGGAAAAATTCCTGCTGGTTCACTTAATAGACGTTATGTTCGGTACTGATATTGCCGGTCCTTATGGGCTCGTAGATGTAAATGCAATTAGTGTATTATTATGCGCGGTCTGATAACTATTCCACAATCTAGATTTAATATTCCATTGCCGTCAAACTGCCAACGTAGCACATTGGTTAACGCATCTACTGTAGTGCGAGATTGAGGGCAAAAGAACTGTGAAGTCTAGATTTGTTAAAATTGGCAATGACGATTTCAGTTTAGTGGTACGCAGACATTCCTGCCTGTGATGCCATATAAAGGGGAGTGTCAGTGTTTAGAGGAATACGAAAACGGCTGGAATGAACGATACTAGCCTGCATTCTTTCCGCCATGTCCACTCTCTCACCAGCGACTGTCATGTATGCAATCACTGGACATTCTTGAGTACCCTTGTTTACAGTCTACAATTTTGCTGCTTCAATCAGTAATACAGCTATTAGAAACTCACCACTTGTTTCATTGTTTTTTTCTATTCCCATATGCATTATGCGAGATTCTTCAAACAGTACTTTATTTATTAGATGTCATAAAATTTTTGACAAAATACCACCATTGTTTAATGGAGCTGAAACATGAAATGTGATCTCCATTTAAAATAAAACTGCACGCAATTTCAACTTAGTGTGCAATACTTTTTTATCACCTTTTAAACACATGTAAACCTATGCGTACTTTAGAACTTGTTCGAGCTGATTCATATTCTCTACTTTTTATTGTTAATGAGCATGTATTTCAGCTATATAAGTTGCGAACTAATAAGTACCAATGTATTAGAAGGGTAATTGTATAGCTGAGCATGAATCTATTTATATGTTAATTTTCGTTTTTCTTCTCTCTTTGTGGACCTCTACTTATTTTATTCTATACTGCATTGAAACGACCACTATAGCTACTTCATACTACTGGTATAAAGAACCCTCGCATATGAAATTTTTCGTTTCGGAAAAAGTATCACAGCATATCCACGGAGTGCATGATGATGAGTGGGGCGAAGCGTCCCATCCGTCCGTTCGTTCTTGCTTCCATCCTTTCGTGCGTCCGTATATGTGACAGTCCGTGCATCCATCCGTCCGTGCATTCGCATGTGTGTCCATGCGTCCATCCTGCGTCCATTCATCATGCATCCGTCCGTGCATCTGTCCGTCCATCTAGTGAAAACTCCAAGTACCACCATCTCGTATCTTTCCATGATATATTCAGCACACAAAACTACCGCCATCCAGCGGACATTCCAAGAAGTAAACGAGAGGTGGCACTCGCACACTCTCTTACGGCCTGCGCTTCGTGTCTACTTCCACCTATCACCGCCTCTAGTTCATGGCTCTACACTAGTTCACTATATTCATGCACTGCGGTCCGATCCTCGCTAAACATTGCTAAAAGCAAGGTGGTTGTGCTCAGCAATTTTAACGTGGCCACCCTTTCTGGTCAGATAGCGCTGAAAGTGCGTCCTTCTGATACTAGTTGTATTGCGAGAGGTGGAGAGGGTAGTGTCGCGCGAGGGTGGAGAGGGTGAAGCGAGAAAGAGCTGACACGCGGCGAGCGCGTGGCAGGCGAGGGATAGAGGTCACCACGCACTGCTAAGTGGGCGTGAGCTGCTTGGCACCACTCCGACACCTGCGGCGATGGGAGTGGTATGGACTCAGGGACAGCGTTACACAGGCTAGTCAAAAAGCTGCTTCGCACCTAATATACTTTTGTTGTTTGTTTGAATAATTGAATGATCGATTGATTGATTCCCAATACCGTCGCCGTGCCTTCAAGCGGTGTACACCCTCCTTATGACCTTGATTGATGGATATGTGGGGTTTAACGTCACAAAACCAGCACATGATTATGAGAGATGACGTCGTTGAGGGCTCAGGAGATTTCGACTAGCTGGGTTTCATTCTCAGTATGACCTTTCGCCTACGTTGGTGAAAAGTGTTCGCTAGAAGCAAGCAATGGCTCCTGCTATAGCGTCTCCACGAATCTCAGCGTCGATGACTGTGAAGAAGCAGACGTTCTCTGCATACAAGCCATCTAGCGGAACGAGGTCGCAAATCACTGTGCATCCACTACGAGCACTTTAACTCTTAGCTGAACGCAACCAGATTGGACATAGCCACATCCATTTTAAATGTCACCGTGTTGGCATATTGCCGGTTACTGTGGAAACTGCGGGTCATCCCCATCATTACATCGTTTGTCCATTATTGTCACTACGAATCATTTCTTCGAAATAGCCGCCAAGCTACCTTTCAAGTTTCTCCTAGTTATCTGGAACGCGCCTCGTTGTTTGGCTCTATTCTTAAAGTTTTCGTCATGTTCCTCAGAATTTCATAAGGTGAAATGGACTCTTGGTAACTTCCGCTATTGGCTCTTGCCACAGGCCTATTCTTTAACATCTGCCTTCACAGCTCCTGACGTGATGGACGTACTAGGAAAGGAAGCATGCTTTCCCGTAACCTGCTTGTACAACGAGCTTTGCGAAGACATCAGCCTACGGGGATATTTTATGTCACCAGCAGTTTTCTTAACTCCATTATGAAGAGCGCAACTTGAAAGAGCACCATGCCATATTACTATATTGTTGAACTCTTAACAACTTCAAGACTACAACAGGGTCATTTAATAATTTAAATTGAACTTAGTTTGTGTTACCATTGACTAGCACCTCAGCATGCGGCAGCTGTCACCAACGCTGAGAGAAACAGGTTACTGTTTTTCTTTTCATTTCAACCACATAGCCTTCTCTAGCAAAAAAAAAAAGAACGCAAAATCACCCAAAGAAGTTGACCCTTATTTGAAACTACAGCATTACATCGTGTCGTGCCACGTCTTTTGTTGTACGGCATTATTATTACAAGTCGTTCCAAAGCAGTGCTTTTCATTTTTACTTGATACCCCGCTGACTTGTGCTCACGGCTTCTAATTAAAGCACACCTACTCCATCCTCTGACATATCTATCGAATGCTTGCTAATTTGCGTGGAAATTGTTAAAAACAAACTTATGTGGGTAATTTATATAATTGGTGGATATTCAAAATGTTGAAATGCACAAAAATGCTAAGAGTAAGCGAGACAGTGTGTCCACTAAAAATTTCTGTCTGAAACATGGTACATATTGGCCATATAGATATCGCTAAAATATTTGATCTTCATCAATAATTGGTTGTTTGTGCATAATATTTGTATGTGACCGCTTAGTGCACATATTATAATTTAGGATGACATTACGAATAATTTACCAAGAGAGAATAACTTTTTATAACGAGTGCATATAGGGGAAGCCACGGTTGGGTGGGGCCTCTAGTCCAGAGCTCTACTGCTTTGCGCGACACTGCGAGGCCGCTGGAACAGCTGCTACTGTTCCTACCGGTGTAATCGGAGCATTGTAGACTCCCAAGAGGAAGGAATAGGTTTGTGAATGGGAGGAATACCCCGTGGAGCACAGCATTCCCACGTAGAGTGGTACACTGCCGGTACAGATCCACAAAAAGGGCAGTAGGAGGGTTGCTGAGCTGGATGAAAGCGATTTAGCATATATAGGAAGGAAATGAATTGGTCTGCAGTTGCTGCGAAGCGGCCGCATCTGCTCTGTGAAGGGAAGGATGTGGAGGAGGATATGTATAACGAAGCGAGTTTGAAGAGCTTGACAATGAAATCGATAACATAAAATACAGCTTCTTATACGTTAAGACAGCGTAAACCAAGAAACAGATAACCTAAAAAAACCATGTGACTTGAAGAAAGTTATGTGTGCCTAGCACCCAAGATCAATAAATTTTGTAATTTTGCCCAGAGAAATAAAAAAAAAAAACTCTAAAGAATCATAACTGTGTTTCTCTCACGGACGCGCACAACAAAAACAACAACAACAACAACAACAACAACAACAACAACAACAACAACAACAACAACAACAACAACAACAACGACGACGACGACAACAACAACAACAACAACAACAAACGTACAAACAAGCAAACGGTGTATTGAATTGATACTGTGTATACACATATACTTTTTATGGTGTAGTCCTGTCTCTTTTCAATAATAAATACATGCATATCATAACGCTTCTTTTACGTGAGTCAGAAACAGCAGGGTAATTATCTTTGTCATTAATATTATATTTAGTGAACCAGGGAAATGAAAGCTACATTGACCTACGAAAGGAAGGTATATGTTGTCATCTTTTTTTCACAAGGCCCAACTTATTGAGCAGTTACTTTTTAAGCAAAACACGTCCAAAAATGCAAGTCAATACGTAGGTTTGCAATGGAGTCCGTTCCTCTCGAATTAATTATTCTGAAAAACAACTGCTCTGGGCTATTTTAGAGGACGAAATTTGTAACATCAACAGTTAGGGGGAGTTCACTCGTACAAACAGCACCTGCTCCACTGATAACAGTAACATGACCTCACAAACATCGCACCCCACTGTGTTGTTATTACAACCTGCCGGCTTCAGTGACGCCGTTGCAATCCATCTCGTCTGTCCAGATAATTCTTTCTTGAAAGTTAGCGCGTGTGTACGTGCACAAGCGCTTACGCCAGTGCACCTATTACAAAAGTCGTGAGCCATTGGAGGATTACATTATTTGGGCCACTCACATTGTGTGACGCCCGGTGTTATTCTTTTATGTCGTTTCTTGTTGCATCTGTTAAGACGATTCCTTGCACGACATGAACCCCGTATAGCGCTTTTTTGCGAAAGGGTTGGGGCCTGCTTTGGCAAAGTGGTTAAGTTTGATTGCCTTTCGGTTCTTGATATATTTATCTCATTGTGCGCTACGGCAGTTACGGAAAGCGGCCGCGGTGGCGGACCACTACACCACCAAAATGTGTTGTTGTTGTGACCTCTAAACTGCTTTCACTGTCAAAATGAAATAACGTAATCTCTACTTTCGTCATGAAGGTGAAAGGTTGACACCCTGCCCTTAACAAAACCCCTTGGTGTATCTTTCAGGTGTTTGATAGTTTTGACAGCATCGTCGCCATCTTTGATATAGACAAGGACGGGGATCTCGATTGTTTGAGTGGTGCACGCACATACTACGACAAGCATTCGTCAACCGCTACCTACGTCTGGTTTCTTAAAGGTTTAAATGGCCACAAAGCGTGAGTGATTGTTGTATTTTGCAACTTCGATTCGCTTAATAATGCATTAAAAGCTTGGGTAAGTACGATGGTATGACATCGGAAATCATCTTATATCGGCTAGTGACTATATCATACTTGGCCCTTCTGCTCCGAATGACGTATAAGGTCGTCTAAAGGTAGTTCACGAGATTCTCAGCTATGTTGTATAAATAAGCATAAACTACCTGAAAACGGCACCTTGTCTGCTAAGCAGCACCCATTTAACATTGTGTAATATATATGACGTAGGTAAAAAACTACGCAATATCCCACTAAATATAACTATGAGTAGCAGGCGAAGCAGCGGATGGGTCGACTTAAAGTTCCGTTCATCACAGGTACCTTGCCCGATGTTAACCAAAGTGAACGATTGGGCCAGTTGGTGAAACATGATCTAAGAGTACTGCGCGGTAGGAAACACGGATGAGAAAAAGACAAGGACAAGTGCAGACTTTTTCCCGTCCATGTTTTCTACCGCGTAGTACTCTTAGACCGATGTTAACGCGTCCTTTCAAGTGGAGCACACCATGAATTCACTGTAGTTTCTGTTGCCGTTACTCGTCCCGAACTCTTGTTGGAGTACAACACGGGGGTTCGCTAGATTCCGTGCTGACCGGTTGTGCCCTCGTGATTTCCAACAACAGCGCTGCTCTGGCCGACTAGGTTGGTCCTACGCCACCTCCTACCGCCGGTCCCCTACGACGAGGACAGCGCATCTCTGGCCGACTAGATTAGCCCTATGCCATCTCCTGTTGCGTGATAGCATATCTTGCGTGATAGCATATCGTCAACTTGGTCTTCAAAGAGTTTCGTTTCTGATTGCGAGACACGGTAGGGCCGACGGCGTATAACACCAGAACCATTCGTTTCAATGTGCTGTACAACCACGGGAGTCTGGCTAAGTGTGACGACACAGCTGTCGAAGCAGGCCTTATGCTTAGCTAAAAGCGCCAGTAACGCTGTGGACTGTGGAAGTGTTAGATTAGGGCAGATGTGTTAGATTAGTGCGGGGAAGGAGGAAGAACTCGCACCTGACGTGGGCAGTGACGATGGAGACGGGCAAAGTGCTGCGATGGAGGTCAGTGGAGAGGCGTCCATCGTCGCTACAGACATCCCCTTGGGTAACATAATTGATTCTGCAGTTGTGTTGCTAATGGGCAGAAGAGCGTGGTCATAAGGCAACCGGAGCAGACAAGAGGTGTCGAGAATTCCACAATGGGTGCAGCGCGGAGCAGGGACAACTAGGGCGTCACCATCATCTACTTGGCTAGATGCAAACGCTACCACGTGTTCATGATCAGGGTGCAAAACACAGCCTTCAGCGCCTTCAGTGACTTCAGCGTCTTCAGTTGAATACCAATGAAGGCGGATCTGACAGAGATGCTTCCGATGTATCCCCGATGTGAACGACGTGTTCTTTACTTGTTATGACAGCGGAGGCGGAATGCAGGAAGCCCCAACCCAGGATAAGTTCATGAACGTACGTGCGTTGCGCAATCATTTCGATGTGGGCACGTAAGCCGTCGATGAAAACGCCAGCCGTACACTGTCCATCAGGTTCGATGAGTGCGTTATTTGTGCCACGCGACACAGGTCCTACAAATGGTGTTCTTACTTTGCGCAGCAACGAGCACAAGACACTACGTGTAACAGAAATAGCGGCACCGGAATCAACGAACGCTTGCACAGGAACACCTTAGTAGTCACTAACAACACGTTAGCCGACAAACCAGGAGGTAGTTTTGATCATCGACTGGACGCAGTTTTCTCTCCAAAAACTGCTACCCTTAGTTTTGTGACTGTTAATCAACAGTGCGGGAAAGGGAGCGAATCGGCGATGCCGAGCGTCAGTAGGGTGATGGAGAGCATCGTATGGAGGAGCGGTAGTCCTGATGTTGACGTGGGGACGCTGGAGGAAACGGAGACTTGTACTGCGTGAAGGAGTAGGACTCTGGAACATAATATTCCGGCTGTCAATAGCGGTCTCACTCGAACTCAGCGTAGCCTCGTCGTTCATCCTGCTGGCGGCGACAGCAGTAACGTGATATGTGGCCTCGGATACCGCAGTAAAAACAAACAGGACAGTACGAACGCAACTGAGGATAAGAAGTTGGAGCAGGTACGCCGCATCGCACAGAAGCCGAATGGCCACAAGTAATTGCAGCAGGCCCGAATGTGGTCGCGGAATGCAGAATAGCTGCTATATATGCATATGTGGGCATCAGTGGTTGATCAACCGAAGCTGTCGGAGTCATCACGGAGGCCACATCAGCATATGTGGGCAGCGAGCATGCTGATGGAGCGACCAGCACTCTCGGTGTTGTCCTGGCCACTAACTCCTGCTTCGCAAGATTCCGCAAGTCGAACAGTGCGGATGGAGTTTGAGACGGCAGTGAACCGCAGCTATTCCAGGTCTCGAAGTTCTTCACAGATGATCGTGTGGATGGAGGCATAAGGCGGGGATCGCTGTCTTGTTGAAGGCGGAGCGACTGCAACTGATCAAGGTGTTGGCTCATGCTTTAAACTGTAGTGGGACTGTTTACAGCCAAGGCGTTGAATGCAATCGTGCCGATTCCTTTGAGGATGTGGCGAACGCGCTCGGCTTCCGTCGTATTGCTCTTCGCACGGTGACAGAGAGCCAAAACATCCTCGATATACGAAGCGTATGTCTCGTGTGGATGTTTGAACCTGCGTTGCCAGCTTCTGTTGTGTGGTTTTGAAACGACCTGACGAGCATCTGAAGATCTTTCGAAGCTTCGTGGTAAAGGGTCGACCATTCAACAAACTCAGTTTCGTCGTTGAAATACCACGTTTTGGTTACGCTGGTGAGATAGAATGGGAGATAACGCAATATCTCCGCTTCGGTCCACCAATTGGCTGAACTCACACGGTTGTAAAGGTCGAGCCAGTCCTCGACGTCATCACCGTGGAGGCCTGCGAACATAGGTGGTTCGCGATTAAGGCTGGTGACAGTGGACGAAGGGAGGGTGGCCGTAGGCATTAGTGTGAAAGGGTTAGGGCTAGGTATTGGTTCCGTTGTCGGCATAGCTGTGGGGGTGGCCGAGCGCAATCGGCAACCGGATTGTTGCTCCAGGTGAGGCATGAACGAAGGAGGGCCTTGGGATCTTTTTCCGGCACCCTCACCACTCTCTGTGATGCAGGAAGACTTCACTATGCACAACCAGCAGAAGCGTTTATTCCGGGATGATTGCCTTGGCTCAGAACAGCAACGAAAGAGCCTGTCACGCCCCAGAACTCGGCGCTCGTCAAAAAAGAAGAAGTTGGCATTGGGCCGCGCGGCGGATGCAGCGCAATTATAATAAAAAAAATCAGTTCAAAAACTGAACGCTGTCAGGGCTGGAGCTCCGGCAGTTAATGGTGACCCAACAAAGAACACACAACCCCGATCACCCCACATGGGTCTCGCCTGCTCTTCCACCAATCCTACCGGTTTGATGCCCAAGAAGACGCCAGACCTAGCAGTGCTGCAGTCACTGCGGTTCACCATGTCAACCTGCCACCATTTTGGCCTAACAGCCTCTGCACATGATTTCTGCAGGTCAAGGCACACTTCCGTCTACGGCAAATCACCAGCAGACAGGCCAGGTACTGGCATCTGGTGTCCTGCTTACCTCCGGATGTAGTCGACGACTTAGCTGATATTTTAGCGTCGCCACACCCGAGCCATCTCTACGACACGTTGAAGACAGCTATCATTTCCCGCATGTCTGAGTCCGAACACAGCAGACTCCAACAGCTCATCACGGCTACAGAGCTCGGTGACCGTCACCCATCACAGCTCCTGCGACGCATGCGCCAGCTTCTTGGCGGCCCCTCCGCCCCCCAAGAGGAGAAGGTGTTACGTGAGTGTTCCTCTAGCGCATGGTCCCGGTACTTGTAGCCGCAGATGTCCCAGTAGACACACTAGCTGAAATGGCTGACCGAGTGGCGGCCTACTCGCGGGCACATATATCCTCAACGCCGTTACCACACCGCCACCGGCCACCGCTGCAGACCCGGCACTCGCGAGCATCGAGAACCGTTTGGACGCCCTTGTCAGGCACCTCGATGACTTTGTACCTGCGCATCGTCGACCGTCACCCAGGTTCTAAACACACGGTCGCTCCCCGACGCCCCCACGTTCTCCTGAATTTCAGCCAACCGACAAGCCGCGGGACGTCTCATTCTCAACCGTTGGCTGGTACCATCGCCAATTCGGTGGCTCTGCTCGCAAGTGCACTCACCCATGTTCCTGGTCGGGGGAATGCGACGACCGGCCAGTAACGGCGGCAAGTGGTACTGGTCGAAAATCATGCCGCCTTTTCTATGTCTCTAGCAAGATCACTGGCGCTTGTTTCCTAGTGGAAACAGGAGCCCCGATTAGCATCATCCCGGCCACGTGTGCAGATCGCCGTCGCAACAAACAGACCTGCCCACTGCAAGTGATCAATAATTCTGCCATTCGCACATACGGCCATTGCTCTATTACACTTTATCTTGGACTATGCCGTACGTTCCGCTGGATTTCATCCTCGCTGACGTCTCGCAAGCTGTTCTTGGAGCTGACTTCCTCAGTTTTTTAATCTTGCTGTGGACATGCCTACTCATCGCCTCATAGATCTCAACACCCACCTCTCCATCAAAGTGTACTCTGTACTTCCTCGCCAACGGGAGTGCGAGCTCTCACACCTGCTTCGCCGTATGCAAAAATACTCTCCGATTTTCCCAGCATCACGAAGCCGCACGCCAGAGAGTCGCCGGTGGCGCATTTCATCACTCACCACATTGTGACCACTGGACCTTCCGTTTTTACACGACCCCGTCGACTACCTGGAGAACGCCTCGCCATCGCCCGCCGTGAATTTGAGCACATGCTGGAACTCAGCATTGTGCGGCCTTCCTCCAGCAACTGGGCGCCGTCATTCCACATGGTGCCGAAGAAAGATCCTGGCGACTGGAGACCATGTAAGGATTACCGC